GCACAGCGCCTGCCTGGCAAGCACGAGCTTGTGAGTTTTATTCCTGGTACCGAAAAAAAAAAAAAAAAAAGAATGGGGATAGGTGGCACCCACAGGCACAGGGAAGGGCAAGCTCCAAACAGAGTCAGTGACTGCCTGTGGTCAGCAGGAGGAGCCTGCGGATGCTGGAGAGGTTGGTGGAGACCCCGCAGGACGCGTGTCGGTGGTGCTTAGGATTGAGGCTGTTTTGATGAGGACCAAGTGAGGCAGAGGGGAGAAGGTAGATGCATCTGAACTCTCGAGAACTGGTGCCAGACCTGCTTGTGAAGTCAGAGGAATGATGGCCAGCTTTTAACAGAAACATGAGCAGCTCAACTGCAGTAGTAGGAGAGAAGGCAACGAATGAGGGCCTGGTAGGACAGCCCTGGTGTTGGATGGGTGTGGGTGCCTTTGCAGCTTTTAGGGAGTGCAGTTCTTGCTGAGAGGGTGGAGGCAGGTACTGGAGGTCAGAGGAGAGGTGGGAAGGAGGATAGGCTGGGTTCAGCTGGTGTGCTTCAAAGAAACAGGGAGGGAGAGAAAGGCAAGGGCCAGCCACATGCAGCCGGGGGAGACAGCTATGCCTAGATTCTCTGAAACTGCTAGGTCTTGAGTACAGCTCAGTGTCAGAACACTTGCCTAGCATACACCAGGCCTTGGATTTGGTCCCTGGCACCTCCATTCCCAGTCCTAATTTCAAAGATGGGCATTCCTTTATGGCCTGAAGTAAAAAGAAAAATTCTGTCTGGGTGGAGATAACTCTGATGTCACTACCGAGGTCCTATTCTCAGACATTTTTAGGTGTGATTTTTAAGAATTTTTAATTTTTTTTTATTTTAAAGAGAAAAAAAACCCCAAATTTCAAAACAAGGTAACAGGAAGGTAAGGGGCTGGGGATTTAGCTCAGCAGCACAGCGCCTGCCTGGCAAGCACGAGGTTGTGAGTTCGATTCCCAGTACCAGGAAAAAAAAAAAAAAGCTAATAGGAGGGTAACAATGGTTAATACATTGCATATTGTTATCTTTAAATTAGTTACTCAGAGTACAAGATATCAGCATTTAATTGTCCAAACAATATTATCACAAACCTCTCTTTTCAATGAATTAAGAGAAATTAGAGGTATAACTACTACGTGTGATTTATAAAACATTTTGATACTTGTCTATTCAGTCAGCTAACAAGGCTTTAACCTGAAATCTGAGGCCACCTACACACAGCTCTCCCAGGAAATATTTGTCATGGGGAAATATGTATCATTTATTTACCAAGCAAAAGAGGAGCCATTATTCAGTGGAACCAAAGCCTCCTTCTCCCTGAAAACCTGTTTCTATTTTCCACGTATGACTAATTTTTAATCTCAGTGACTGAGTGGTGATGCTGTTGTCACTGCTGCTGACGATGGTTTTTAAGAAGTGGATGATAGATGCTGCCTTCATGGGATCCTTTCTTTGCGATCATTCCTGTGCTGTTCTGAATAAAATGAGTTGAGCCTCCACGCGGCTCTAGCAAACGCAGGGACCACTGCAGATTAGATGCCATCTTTATGCAGAGGCCCTGCAGTGCGTAGCGACGGGCAAGGTGGGGCTCTCTACCCCACAGAAGGGGTAGGATGGTCACCATCATTCACCAACACAGGAAAATAGCTATTTGCCTAATGCCCATTTGTTAAGAAGGCAGAAAGAGGGCATCATTAATATCCCTGAACAGAGGCCCTATAATTTATGAAACAAGTGCACTGTAAAGGGAGTGAGCATGTCTGCAGCATCTTCCATTTACCTTAGTGTCTATTTTTCAGACAGTTGTCCTGGGGCAGGGTTTGGAGTCAGAAGATAGCACCCGCCAGCCTGTCATGCAAGCTGGAAACGCGGACACCATCCTCACCTGCCTCCTCGTCTCCACCTGCACTGAACGATCAGACAGCTCCTCACTTCCTTAGCACCTCTGTGGTTCAGGCTCCTGCTGTTATTCCTTGCAGCACAGCTCCTCGCAGGCCGTTCTGCCTGAAAGGCATCTGCTTGCTGAAATCAAGTCATCCTCTGAAATGTAGACGGGAATATGTTGAAACCCCCCCCACACACACACACCAGTACACAATGTGGTAATGCTCCCAGCACCTGCCCGTCTGCCCATGCTGCCAGTGTCTGCTGGAGGCCCCTGTGACTTCCCATGTGAGGACTAATCTTAATGCCAAGGGGTGCTGGAAGTGCCAGGCTTTGATGTCTGCAAGCAGCCACAGCCAGCGACCCACAGGTGGTGGATGGAGACCAGAGCAAGTCATCTGGAAGTGTCTTCCCAAAGGCCCCCAGGAGATCAAGCCCAGGTGCTATGCTGTAGTCAGGGCTGCAAGGGAAACAATTTAATACGGGACACACAATTTATAGGATTATTTTATAATCACCCAAAGAGTCAAACACAAAAGAGTAGAGGAAATCTGTCCACACACTAAAGACCCAAAGAATCCGGCTGAGGGCCTGGATTCCACGGCAATGTCCTGCATGAGTCCAGCTAAAGACCTAGAGCTCACAACAATGTCCAACGCAAGTCTGTTTCACAGACCTCACGGCAAAGGCCCGAAGGCCAGTGGTGAAAGCTAGAAAATCGGTGCCAGCGGATGAGGGATCTGCACTGGAGACAGGAAGTGATGCTCAAAGTAAGGACCAGAGCTCCCCGCAAAATTATCACAGCCATCTTCAGCGACAATAAGGTTCCAGGCTCCTCCGACAATAACAGCCAAGTTCCTATCAGGAAAACCAGTGCCACACACTTCTCCGGGAGAACCAACAGCACCACCTTTTCCTCTCTGGTTCTCCTTTTCATGTTGCTAGTAACAATCCCCAGGCGGGCCTTCCACACCCAGCACCACGCTGGTTCAGTTCAGCTGGGTGTTACAAGTTGACCGCTGGTTGTCCATCCACCACATGCTATGACACCAACCCACTTTCCACACACCTGGAACTGGCTTCACCTCCTGCTCTCTTACCCGTGCTCATAGACCCTCTTATCAAATACAGTGTGAGCAGCAAGGCTCTGCTTGGGAGGGACCGAACCTCGAGACATTGGCGTATTCATGCTCTGCTCCAGCCACTGACCACATTCTCCCTCTAAATACTGTACAGGGCCCTCTGCCCGCCCCATTCCCCTGGCGACCTCCCTTTAACTGTCCCGCTGGGCTCAGGGATTGCCTCTCTGACCTAAGCCATTTTGCTGACCGGCAGTGTGCCCAACCAAGCATGCCTGAGACACAAGCTCTCCTGACTCTGCCCCACTGGCCTTCAGGACCATGAAAGAGAAGCTCTGTGCATTTGCAACTGCCAGGCAGGAAATGGGGCCCCCACAGAAGCCCAGCACCCAGAGTGGTGCTGGCCCACTTGCCCCCACCTACAGGGCACCCCACACCTCAGCCTGCACAACACACCACCGGGCCACCTGGCCACGCCACCACAGGCACCAAGCATCCCACTTTCCGGTGGCCCCTGCGGCACGTCGAGGCACCACGTGGCACTGAGGCACCATGTGCTAGCAGGCAGTGTCATGCGGTGGCTGGTGTCTCCTCACTCTGGCTTACTGCCGCCTCGTCTGTCCTAGTGCATTGCAGTGCAGGCGTTGGTGCTGTGCCTTCAAGGAGCTGCTGAGGAGGTGGGGCCTGCTGAGAGGGCAGGGTCAGTGTAGCGGCAGGAGTGCCCGTGCCTCAGTGGTCCTCTTCCCCTGGAACAAGTCCGCTCTTAGTGCCCTCTCCCCTCACTGCTTCCTCCCGGTGGTGTTCCCTTCCGCTCTGTATCCCTCTGTCCTTGTCCCACTTCTCTGCACACGGGACCTCTGTTTGGGCTGAGCCTCTGACTATTGCAACCCTGGGGCTGCCTAGGACAAAGGCCTGAGAACAGAACACTGATAAAATTTCTGCTCTGTCCTGAGGCTGACGGCTTCTGTGGCTGCACCTGTCCCTGGGCCCTTCTTCCTGTGCTAACGGGCTTCCTGTGTTGATCTGAAATTTCTCCTCCCCTCTCGTTTGGGTAACGGGCCATGCGTGTTCTGGGGCTGGTATTTCCTGTGCTCTCTTCATTTCCTGGTGTTGTGACCCGGCCCCTCCTCTTTCATCTCTCTGGCGCCTTGTAATGCTTCTGGTCACACTTGTTTTTGTTTTGGTTTGGTCTGACACACCTGAAGCCATAAGTACTGAACTAAAACTGGCAAAGTAGTTCTCTTTGGTGGAGTTTATACATGCATGCAAAGTGCTTAATTGATATTGAAAATATTAACATAATGACAAAAACCCAGGAAAACGTTCAGGACCAGTTATCTGAAACTTGCCCTTGAGAGACTCGTTCCAGAGAAATAAAGTCAATAAACACCATCCATGCGCTGTCAGAACCGGGAGACTTCACACGCAGAGACCCTTGCTGTTCTCTATGGCGGTGAGATCAGACATACGGCACGGCCAAACTGGCTGGGGAAATAGGCAGGACCTGTCAATTACAAGATCCCAGTACAAGCCGGGCGTGGTGGCACAC